TGTGTGTGTGTGTGTGTGTGTATATATATATATATATACACACACACACACACACAAACCCCTACCAAGAACAGTTAACATGTATGTATATGTGTGTATGTGTGTGTGTGTGTGTGTGTGTGTGTGTGTGTACACACAAAGAACAGTTAACAGATAGGAGAAAAATAGTAAGTAGCAATTTTAACTTTCTAATTCAAAGAAAAACGAAACATGCAAGAACACAAAAGATAAGACAGCTTTTGAAATAAACAAGATAATGGATTAAAGGGAGACTGGGACATTCATTTGAGAAATCACCTTTGCAACACATTAGTTGAATTCACTTTACCACACAGAAATGTTCAGGATAAGTGGACAAGAAAGTGAAGAAAGAAGTTGCACATATTTTATGTGCCCAGACTAACTGGAGGTTGGCTGCATGGCTGATATGAATGATGTAGCCAATTATTTTAGTTTATTGTTCATTTATTGTGTGATGTTTTGATTGACTAACATGTTACGTCATATATAATCATTATATGTTAAATAGAGTTAATTCATAGGAGTAGAGAGGTATAAGACTGATCAATATTTAGAGGAACCATGTGTTAGATATAAGCAAGACAAGCTGAAATGCAAGAACCTGTAGGCAAAGGCCCGCAAGATTTTAGATTAGCTATTTTAGGCCTTGGAGATAAGAAATGCTGACATAAGTAAGTGACCGAAGAATAACCCGATGCCCTAAGATTACAGGAAAAGATGTACCAATGGGTGATATTGTGAAAAATTAACAGTAAGAGTAATTTTTTGCTTACAAGATACCCGGTAATCTAACACATGCCCTAACCGCAGGGTGCACTATGTACAGAAATGCTAATGAGGTATAGTCAGAATCACATTATAAAAGAGAGTGCCTAGATTAGGAAAATTGAGCTCTCCCTATGGGAAACTCCAGCAGGAACCATCCCTCTACTGATAATCAATCCATGAGTAACCCATTAGACCCCAAGAACTATTGTTAAGGATGAGAGTATAACTATATTTGTAACTTTTGCATAGGTCTGTATAGAATTTCTATATGCTTGGGTATTCATAACTAATTGTAACTTTAATAAAACTTGTAAAACTTGTGAATGGATGTGTGGTCACTACCCTTGGTCTTTATGTGTTCCTAGAGACCCTAAATCTGAAGCAAGTAGCAGAGGTGACTTTCACTCTGTTAAGCTTGAAACTATAGCCGTCAAAGCCAAACCCCCAGTGGTGTAATACCACATTACAAAATTCACTTTAAATAAAATAAAAGGCTAAAACAAGCATAAAAAAAACCCTCAAGAGACAATGCCAGGGAATGTTGTGAAGGCCCAAAGTATAACTGGGTTTAAAAAAGAATTAAACAAGTTCATGGAGGATAGGTCCATCAACGGCTATTAGCCAAGATGGTCAGGGATGCAACTTCATGCTCTAGGTGTCCCTAAACCTCTGACTACCAGAAGCTGGATGAGAGGAGATGGATCACTAGATAATTGCTCTGTTCTGTTCACTTCCTCTGAAGCATCTGGCACCGGCCACTGTCAAAAGACAGGATACTGGGCTAGATGCACAATTGGTCTGACCGAGTATGGCCATTATGATGTTCTTATGTAATGCTGCTTATGAAAACAGATGAAATACAATAGAAAATGGTGATTTAGAAACAGTTCTTTTGAACGCAGGATGACCTGATGTGTAGCATTAAGATGAAACAAGTAGCTATATGGATTTTTTTAAGGGACCTGAATCTTCTCCAGAAAAAAATCTAAAGCAGAATTTCAAATCCAACAACTGAAGTGACCAATCCCACACAAGGATGGACAAGTAGGCAGGATCAAAATAACCTTGGAACAGCTAACAAAATCAGGTGAAGCACCAGTAGCAGCTTTGAAAGGGTCTCTGTAGAAAGTTTCCAATACCACCTGTTCTTGTAAAATTTGTATAATGTAGAGAGGAGGTTAGTCATTACAATTCGAAACAGAGTCATTCAATATGCTGAAGTTATTGTCCTCAAAAATCATCTCTCATATCAACTACTTCAGCTTTATTACTGCTTATAAACTACAATGCACAAATGGGGTGACAGATAAAACTGGACTGATACAATCTTCAAATTGGACTAGATTGGGATGGGGTCTGGAGGTGGGTAAGAAATAGAAATGTACATTTCTTGGTCTACATTTTCTGAGCATGCACTCCTGAGAACTGGTTGTGTCCCAGTAAAAACTGAATGCTAATCACAGTATTTCAAATACATTGCTACATCAATAAATATGACTGGCTGAAATTGAACAGAAATACTTTAGCCTACAGATTAATGAAATGCTGGTAACTGAACTTCAATAAAATAGCAGATATTTCACACTGCAAGCTTCATTCATATGAAATTCCAGCTTTTTAATTTGTCTTTTTCCATCAGATGGACGCATTTCATTAAAACAAAATGTCAGACATTTCATAAAAGAAGACTGTGATAATTAATGCTTTTACAAATGTTTAAAATATGGCAGTGATGTATTTGTTTCAAATAACCCACATTTGCAAGGCAGAGTAATTTACCTGCTTATTTTGCAAAGCAAAATGTATTTTTGAGACAGCTGTTCAAAATCAATGTAAAAGTTTTTAAATTTTGAACATGTGTTATGAAAGTGAGTGATAATAGGGAACTACAAAATACCTTCGCCTGGTCTGTGAAAGACTCATAGTGTTCTTGTGATGCAAGTAAAAGTCTGTAGGAAGCTCCCAAAGATGAGGTTTTCCTTCTGCAGGCTGGAATACTCCCAAAAATAGGTTAATTGAGTCTTGCCTGTCAGCATCTGTAAAAGAAGAGGTACACCGGGATGTTCTGTTTATGCTCACAAAAATATGATGGAGGCAATAGTAACAACACCATGGTTGTGAAATCTACATTTAAAGCAAGACTAAAATCCTACTGTTTTACACTTCAGGGCTTAAATTTAAACTTTCCAGAAGATAGTTGACATTTTAAAGTATTAATATGTTTATTAACTTTTGCAGCAGAATAGTTTTAAAGTGCTGCCTTTTAGATATTTTGACTTATTTTCTTCACATTTCTTATGATTCTTCTGACTTAGTATAAAGTGTATTAATGCACTAGAAAGCAACCCATAGGCTTTGGCTTGAGTGGTGAATCCAGCACCTCAACCCACTCAAAAGACCCACAGCTTGCCCCGTATCAGAATGACCTTCACTTCACAGTCTGTGCAAGTGCCACAGAGGCAGGGCTGCCCCCAGAAATTTCTCTCATGGTATACTGTGATGTCATCCTGCCCTCTGAGGTGAGAGGTGGAGTGTTGGGTCACCAGGTCCCCCTGGGAGGGATAGGTGTCAGGCAGCCAGGTGCTTGAGTGGAATGGAGTGTCTGGTTGGTCTGAAAGACGCATTTGGTGAGTTTCGTAGAGCATGGAACGGACTTGTTGGGGTGGGGAGGAGAGGAAATGGAGGTGAAGGGGGCTGCTTGGTGAGGTGAGGGGAGTGGAGATGAGGGGATAAAGGTTAGGTGCCTAGTGTCAGCTGGTCTCAGGGAGATGAGGGACTAATATCAGGTGCAGGTGGCACTGGGGTTGATGGAGATACTTACTGGTGTTGCAGGC